TGTGTGTGTGTGTGTGTGTGTGTGTGTGTGTGTGTGTGTGTGTGTGTTCATAGTTTGCCTGTATTATAATGGCAGTAAGCCACATCCAAATTGAAGTTGTGCAGTATATCTGCAATCCCATTTGCTGTTGGACACTTGGTACTATAAACAGTTCAATACAGGTGCAATCTTCTAAGCTGAAGGCAACACCTAAAGCCACTGGTTCAGTAAACAGCCTGATGTTGCTTGCCCTTAAGACAGCTGTTGTGTAGCTTTTGAAGCCTAAGATTTATGGCGATGGCTTTGTGCTCCAAGTGAGTAACTTGGCTAAAACCTGAACAGTATAGGTTCCATTTTCACAAGAAATCTTGCTGAATAGTCACAGATTAAGAAGTTGCATGATCATATGTGAATACGTCTTAGAAAGGAAAGGAATTTCTATTCCTTTCTAGAATAAAATAGAAGTCAAAGCTTATAAAGCTAAGAACTAATCAAATCCAGTTATTTATTTTGTTTATTGAACTGGAAAGAGGGAATACAAATATTTGTCAAGTGCTGTGCACCAACATGGAAAAGTTTCATTAAAAAAACTCCAATAGACAATCAGGAATTAATGTAGCTTGAATTGAACGATTTAAGATATGTTTAAGATATATACTACATATTTATAAAATAAAAAATTAATATGCCCCATAAATTAGTAAAATCAGTGAAAATAAATACGGAGCCCCAAAATTCATGTTTTAATGTCAGAAAAGAAATTTAAACTACTTAATATAATTCAAGAGGAAAATAACAAAATCCAGAAAATTTAATAACGCAATCCTTTGAAACATTTAATATCAGTCCATAGCAAATAGTCATTACATACCAAAAGCTCTAAGTGTTAACTAGTTCCACCACAACTCCATATAAATCTTGACAATTTAGAAATTTGAGAACAGTAAAAGTTCTTTTCTTGATCTCTACAGCTTGGTTTGTAAATACACATACACTTTGAGAATGTTTCTTCCTCTCACATTTTTGGAGCCAATAGCTTTTTCCATCTGTGCCAGTAAGTGTTAAGAATCAAATCTAGTACACTTATTTTTTACAATGAAACACTTTAAAATGGGGCACACTGTACTTCAAATTTATAAAAATATATTTGTATTAACCAAATTTTAATGTTAGAGGACAAGACAAATACACACAACATGACTTAAAATTATTCAGTAAAACATGACATGTACCTAGTTGGTTCCATGACTGATTCTGTTTTACACACACATTCATACCATACACACTTTGCTGAATTCTTCTATATGAAGTCAGCAAATAGCAAACAGGTTTCTAGTTTGTGTTCCAGCAACAAGAGCAGCTATTGCAGACAACACTGCACATATCAATTAAGTCCTCCCTATTCAAATGTTTCCAAAATTATCTGTCATACGAGTGGTTTGTTGTATGGCAGCTGAAAATGGATGCAAGCCAATGCAAGATATAGATATATATATACAGATATATCTACATATATGGAGTATTAACGATACATGGTTAGTAATTTATCTGAAATGCATCAATCCGAGGCAACTTGTGTGCTTTGGGGTACAGATAAGGGGCACCAAATCTTACTGAAAATTGGTTCATTTTCCCTTTCTGCCCCAAATTATAAATTAAGACATTCTTCTGCTGTTAAAAAGGTTACTAACTCTCCTTTCCCTAATATATCTATTGCCAGCATAAAATTAGTATGAGAAATAATTTTAAGCTATTTTAAAAGGTTGGGAGATTTTTGTAGTTAACATGGCACTAAACATCTAGCATTATTTAAATGTCATTCAACAATACCAATTTGGAAGTCAGAATGAAATTATTAGGGGAAAAATGGGTAATTTTCCACCTGTGACTCCATATTAACTTTTTCTTGTGGGTTCCCCCTCATTTCAAAACTGAGGAAAGCTAGCTACACATTTACAAGGCTATTTACGGGTTACATAAAAATTAAATTCCTTTTTCTCTTTTGTGCTATTTTTAAAGTGACTTACCTGATAAAGATGAGAAGCATTGTGGCAAGATAATTTATGGTTGGTGTGCCTAGTTTGGAATTGATGGTCAAAATGCTAACATGTTTTCATAGATCATCTCTGTTGTATGAACAATTAATGATTGCTCTAGAATTTAAGCTGAGATTGAGAAATAGCTACTGTATGCAAATGAGAATATTGCAGATACGCCTCTTCCATATCTTTTTACAATGGTGAATTTAGTTTTTAGTTTATATGGAAAGTGACAATGCTTTCCAATCCACATGCCAGAAAACACTGGTGTACTTTGTCCACCCACAAAAAGTCCTGGCAGTGTTAACACTGTGAGACAACTGGACAAATTAAGTCTCACAATGTAGTCATAGGAAGTTGAGCCTGGCAACAGAAGTTAATTCTACATCTGGAGCTGTTACTTAAGAACTGCATAGCTTATATTATGCAGTGACGTTTAGAAGTGGAACTTTCAAAATATAACTCTTAATCAGTTCCATTCTGAAATGCTTTTATATGTATTTTTTGAATTGGAAGAAAGCTCATAAGTAATATGCTCACTTCAGTGCTTTTAATTTAATTTCCCCTTAGTATTATATTTCAAAGAAGGGTAAACTATAGGTTCAAACGTGTTCATTAAAGTCTATGCATAAAATTTTACTTGCAAGCACCAGATTGCTTTGAAAATAACCTGAAGAAATTAAATTATGCAAACTCTTAAAAATTCAGTCACTTTTGATTTTTGCTCTAATGTCCTAAAATAGTTTTGAGTTAATAAGCAATTTTAGTGCCAGTACCATGTTGGTTATAGAGATGTAAAGCATTTCAAGATGCTGAATGGGAGTATCTGCAAGTATCTGTAATAAATAAGAATTACACAAGCTCAAAAATAACTATTAAGCAATTTCAAATAAAAGAACATAATGTCAAATGAACAGAATATATATATGAATTGACTATAGCAAACATAAAGGAACATTACTCCATAAAATGACTTGAAATAAAATGAGCCACATATAGTTAAATCTATTAGAAAACATAAAAGGAAAGCACTGTTACTTTTTAAAAAGACTTCTGTAACCCTTGTCTTCTAAAACATTTTTTGTCATTTGAGTTATAAAAACTAAGTTACTACATTAAGTAATTGGAGTACCAGCTTTCCTAATTTGATAGTGTTTAAAGAAATTTTGTGAGACATAACTAATTAAATCAAATGCTATGAAGATAAGCATGTGCTAAATCTTGAGTTAAGAAATACACTGAAGTTCACTGACTGATTGCTTATCACAGAATCTGAATATTAAAGACCATGCTTAAGTTCAAGCAATGTACGTTCTCTTCCAAATATGGGACTTTCCTCAAAATTAAAGAGCTTTCCATTTATTTTAGCTTGATTGGGCTTGATTTTTTCCATATGAATTGTTATTTCATTGTTACACAGAGGTATGTCCTTCCATCTTTTAATTTAGAACAGGTCAAATACCAGGCCTTTTTTTGGGGGGGGGGAGGTGGGGTTGCATGTAAAAACTAAAGATAGCAACCCATTCCTAACATCAAACTATTAACAAGCATCCCCTGAGAAAACAATTATGGGGTGAACATTATATGGAACACTTGTATAATGTACATATTTAAATTCACAAAGTCAATCTACTAATTTTGGAAAATGATCCTAAAATATCCCATTCCCATTTTAGTTTTTATGTTTCAAATAAGAATCACTGCACAAGTTTTAGCCAATCTGGAATTTTCATTTTATTAACTTCAGAAATTACATTGTAATAGTTTTGTTGGTGATTCTGAAAGCTTTCAAATTATGATGTTGGTAAACAAAGGTTTTTTTTAATAATACTTCATATAATTTGTGTAAAACTCCTGCTAGCCAAATGGTCTTACACAACACTCAGAAGGAGCACCAATTATACTGCATTTAACTTGTAGATGACACTTTTTAAGCTGGTTTATTTTCCAAACGTATACAAATCAAAGTCATTTTAATGCTATAAATAATTTATTCTTAAAAAAATTTGTGCTGTTCACCCATTTATAGGGTTACAAGCTACGTGAAAAGTACAAAACCTTTTGTCAAGTGTGATACTGAGAGTGCTTTTCATGTCATTCACTAGTTTTACATCTGGATTTGGATATACTGCGCAACGGGCAAGGCTAGAATCCATGAACCAAGCTGCAAAGATCTCAAGCTAAATAAGGCAGACTCAGAGAAACAAGAGAAGGAAATACTTTCCTATCCAACATGTACTCTTCAGACTAAAGCACTCTTTCTATCAAACTTTCTAAACTGTTAAATAAAAGGTTTTCCAAACAAGCATTTAAACTTCATTACACAGAAGAGCAACAAGAACAGTAGTCTGCCTGACAAAATGGCAGAAGGGGAAAATGTATATACGGAGTTCAATGGTTAGCCTGAATGTAGCACAGTTCTTCACAACCGATGGGGGGTTACTTCAACATGGTGTCCAACAACGTTCTAACGACGTGCTTCATCTCAACTGTTTACTATGAAGCAAGGTGGTAAAATGTTTGGCCCCAGTCGGGCTTAAAAAATGGTTCATTTTCATGATGAGCATGTCTGTCCAGCTATCAATCATGTTTGTTTGCACCAAATCCCAAGCCATTTAAAATACGACTAAATTTAAGTTAAACAGAAGTCGTCTGCTCCGAATTCACCATCAACTATCCATGCTACTGCATTCCTCTAAGGGGAAGAGATAAAATGTAAACAAAAATATATTAAGAACGTCCATATTGTCTTGTATATTTCAGTCATGATATATGCACATTTTATTCACACAAAAAGAGAATTAATCACTGGAAATTCACTGTAAACTAACTGAACAGCAACATTAAGTATTGCATTCTTTGTGGCTACCCAGCAAGAGCTTTTATAAGTTTCTTGTGCAAAACAATACTTCACTGTTTGGAAATTATGTGGATTATGATAATGTTCAAAATAATATAAAATTTATGATACAAATGCCAATACAGAAAAAAAGAGAAAGCTTTAATTACTCATTACAAAGGTTGGCTCAGCCTCTGCCAAACTTTTCTGAGTGACACTGTCAAGGCTTCTTTTTAATTCAGCTCAATAAAGGACAAGGAAGGATGCAGAAGCAGTGCCAGTGGAGCAATGAAGCCTAAGAGATTGGCCTCTGGCCAAGAACTGAAAGCCCATTTAAATTTCAACTCAAACAGCTGGAAACGCTAACCTTAAACAAGTTTTCATCCAGTTTGAGGACCCCTGCAATATAAACTATCACTGTTCTATCCACAAACAGCCAGTATCTACTTCTCTGCACCACACGTGTACCAGTACTTCATCAACAATAGAGTACAACCAGTCTAGCAGCTGTTAAAAATATACTTCTTTTCCTGAACTTTTACCATTTTTAAAAGGAGCTTGCAATTCTTTAAAATGTGGTCTTACACATGATTGCTTAAGCTACTGGATTTCACTGACTCCTATTTCTAATGCAGCTTCCTAAGCCTTTGCTACCTTCATAATATAGTAGTGGCAAAATCCAAACCTAGTCCTAACCTTAGTAGTTTATACTGACTTAACACCAAGGAGACAAGACTCAAATCTCCACAGCACTTAATCTGACTTGGAAATCTTTATGTTCTTGTAAACTATCCAGTGTCACTTGGGTAAAATGGGGGCAGAGAAATTTAATAAATAACATTTAAGCTGTGACATTTTCATCTAGTTTGATGTGGCAGGTAAATCCGATGATTGCTAACCCCCAATGTTGAAGGATCATACAGTAAAAGTAGCAAGATTTCTTTCTACTTTAATTATACAGAACACGTCCCAGGAAGTTTGTTTAAAAAGGTCTTTATCAATTTAGAACACCCCAAATTGTGGCTCAATGTTAACCACAACTAGGTTTGGACCGAATGAGTAATGCGTAATCTAAAATCTTTGTGTGATTTGTCTATCACAACAACCCAGAACAATCAATCATATTCCATGTTCAACATTTCCTTGATGTCTGAGATCATCCGGCAATGATATGTGAAAGCTACAGAGAAAAATAAAAAGTAATGAATTCTGCAAAGTAAGAGAAATGTGCTTTAGCATTTTTTTAAAAGTGCTTCTGCTTCGACAAATGTAGTCAGTCTCCAAAGTTTAGTAAATACATAAATATATGAGATTGTAGCCTTGCCTGTCACTACATAAAGTGCATCATTGCAAAAGGTATTGAATATAGTCATTGCTTAGTGATATGAATTGCAATATTAAATGATTTAGTCAAATATTGCTATACATGGTCTCTGTAAATCTAAATCCATCTGGCTCTTGCAGTGGTTACATCCATTCCTCCAAGAAGGAACAAGGGGAAAAAAGATAAGTATTAAAGTCCTGAATATCCAATGTAAGTCCCAACCATTCAGCCAGAGAATGTTTCCTCAAAGGCATGAGAAGGCTGAGAAAAACGTAATTAGGTTTGTGAGACTGTGCTTTACTTCAATATCCATTAGAATCACTTAGTATCAGCCCTCTACATAGTAATGTTCATTCATTGTTTAGGTATGGATGAGATGTAAGCCATGTAGGTACAAACTCTGAATGGACTGAAGAAATCCAAATTGTATGATTCTTCTTTGTCTGGGTAATGGACTTAACCTACCATTTTATTCCTCCTTTCCAGGCCTTACATTTTATGATACTAGCAAAATGCTTTGCTGGAGGCATATTAATCAAGTTTGAGTGGCCATTTATTTTTTGGGTTGGTAGTGGTATTGTAAGAGTGAATTCTATAGTGGCCAGAAGGTTGGACTAGAAGATACCTAAGGCTATTCAAACCTTTCACTGTATGATTAAATTATGCATACACCATGAACATTGCAAATCACAGTATTTAAATGCAATAAGGAAAATTAAACATAAAATAATTGAATCTTAAAATCTTTCCCTCTCATAAAATTAGTTTTGTTTTTTTTTACCTTCAATATCCTGGCTGTCTACAAAAGGTGATGGTCCCCATATTCTAACAGTGCCATCATCAGAGGCGCTGGCCATCATGGATGGAATTTGTGGATTCCAGCTCACGCAGTTGACTGTACGTGTGTGCCCCGTCAGTTCCGCAATTGGCAGCTCACTACGTTTGTGCCAAATATATACTTTATGATCTAAGACAGATAGGTTTGAAAAAACATGAGATCCTAAAATTTAAAATATACTCTGTAATCAACATGACAATTCATGTTTACATTTTAAAAATTCCATGCATATCCCAAAACAAACGCTTAATGCTACATCCAGCAGTTTCAAGAAAGCCTTTAAAATTCCATGTTTTAAACTAACAGCATGTACTGCTTTTCTTTACAAAATGCAGATATTTGTAGAAAATTAAATATAAAGGAAGGATTTATATAATCTAATTAGGAATCTGTTTATATGCTAATTTGTATTAATAATAAATTTACATACAAGATTGAAATTGAAAAATTGAAAAGCTCTGGATTCTAATTCCTATATTTTTTAATTTGACCATTTTAATGACAGGTAGGGGGATTTCCCCAGAAAACCTTCTGCCTTTTGAATAAAGGACTTCATTTGTGATTGGAAAATAAAATGTTTTTAAACATGAAACTTTATGACTATAGTGAGCCATCCTACACTAAATTAACTGTGCGATACCCTATTCATGGTACTGTTGCATGAAAAAGATAGTGGGGAAACCAGGCAATGCCAGCCCACATGCAGAATAAGAGGAAGTTACATTCAGATAGCTCATGTTTGCCTTTAAGTATAATGCCCAATAAAAACACTTTTTGTCAGTATACTTTAGCCAATAAGCAATCCATTTCACAGTTTGTTCATGATACAGCCAAGTTGTAATTTATAGCTATAACTGTGTTGGTGCGTTCCATTACATTCACATAAAACATTTACTAAGCTGAACATATGAATGGAAAATTCTATGCCACTGCTAATCCTGAGACACAAGTCGAATGATCATAGCAAGGGTAGATGAAATCTCAAATAAGCAAGTGTCTACACTGAAAGAACCACATATCAAAGTAGTTGCCAGAAATTATATTTTTTGCTAAGTACTAGAATAACTTTGTGGCTTTACTTAAATATCTGATTAAATAAGCACCATAAGAAAAACTTTTAAGATGTACAAAAGTGTTAAAATCATTTGCTTTAACAATAAATTCAAATAATAAAGGATCCGAAGCATTTTAGTCTCTTCCCAGGTTACAACTCCTTCTACTTACATGCCACATTATTTAACAGAAATACTTACTAGCTAAATCAGCTCATATAAGATTTTTAAAAATAAGTGCCACAACATTTAAATTACATCAAACACCCTTGTTTATATTTACTCTCCCAATTTTAATCTGATTAAAAAATTTGATTACACATTATCTCACAACTTCAAGGATTGTTATTCATCTTAAGGCAACAACACTCAGTACTTACTCCCACGAGAGTTTTTTTTATGGTACCTTAATGCTTCTTTACATAATTAGACGTGAACTTTACTCCCAGGGCAGACCATTTGATGTTTGGGGCTGGTAGGTGAAATGCCTACCTAGCTGAAAACATACCTTTACATTTAAGAGGTTATGACATTTAAATCTGTTACTTTTTTTGTACATAGAGACTTTCACAGCAGCCATATTTGCAACAATTCAGTGCAAAGAGGCAACAGCCTCAGGCAGTCCGAATCTAAATAAGGTGCCATCAGCTTCAACTACAGCTGGGTAGTTTTTAGACACTGAAAATGAAAAAAATAAAAAGCTGTTCTAAGTTGACCTGGATAAGTTAATTGGCATATTCATGTCAAACAAACAGTAGGCTGTAGCTAAGTGATTTGTCCATGCTGCCCTAAGTGGTGTATGAATTATTCGATACACCAAAAAGTCAATAGGCGGACAGTTATTTCTGGGCCAGAGACTGTTTGGAAGGGGAAGGGAGTTAAAAATGCATGCATATAAGGACTGACAAATATTTACAATGACAAGATATTAATATGCGGTCCAATAAAGAGGTGCTATTCTCAGTTAAGCATTTCACCCATTAAGATACTATTTTTGTTGACTCAATCTATGACTCCACTCCTGCTCAGACCAAAACCCCATCTTCCTGAAGTTTTGGGAGTACAGGAGTATTGTTGCCCACTCTGCATTACAATTATATTAGCAATACAGAGCAAGAACCCGAGAGTGGATCAGCACCCTGAATGCCAAGAACATCTGATAAACTGGCTTCTCACACAATTGACAAGGGAACCTGCTAAAAGACAACAATGATTGTTTCAAGCTCATGATGGAAGATACTGAATACAGAAGATCCTGCTGCAGTACAGGAGACCATACTTCTCTTACCACAATTGATTATAATCGAAATGACAGATGAATTGACATACTCTACACCTACCTTCAGAAAACATATCTATTGCAAATAAAAGTTAATACCTCAGAGAACTATTAGAGCAACAGTACTAAATACTATACAAATCATATCAAAATTACAGCCATTACTATCAAAAAGATAGAACCCATTTCACTTGTGGATCCCACTGTTCTCCGAAGTAGAATCCTTTTTTTCAATGAGTATTTATCACCACTTACGGAAATGTAAGGGGCACCTACTCTGCTTATTAAAACTCAGAGAGTGAGAAGACTATAATATTTACTAATGCAGAGAGTTTATGATTGAATGAGAGAGAGAAAGAAAGAGAGAAGATAGAGAAACAGAGACAGAGGGAGAGAGATATTTTTTTAAAAAAAAATTACCTTCACTGCCACTAGCGATGAAGTCTTCGTTATGGCCTCCAAAACATGAATGAATTGTGTAAAACCCTTGCGTAACACCTTGGTACTTTCTCACTAAAACTCTGTCTTGCAAATCCCATAAATGAACTCCCTAAGGACAAAAAGCATGATAGAAACAGTTTACTGTAAGAAACAGTTTCCTCTCCATTATTTGGCTTCACTATTTAATAAAATAATTTAATCTGAATAAGATTCAATGCATCAGTATAAAATTTTAAAAAGGACTATTTTTGTTCACAAGCAAAAAGCATATGAGCATTTGTCTTTTATCCAGCAGAACTTTTCTTCTTACTTCTCCCCAAAGAACCCATTTATATTTCCTGAATGCTTCTATCTGGAAACTTTCAGGAAAGAGAAATAAGTGGTGCAGGGGCTGCAGTATGAAAACAAAATCACCAGTAAAATGTGAGCAGATGCTGGTTCCCACTTACACCAGCTGCTATAAAATTTTCTCCAATTCTCCCCACTCACTATACCATGTATCACATCTTAAGGCTTCTAATAGATGTTTTTGCATGTGGGAAGGTGAAGTAGAATGTAGGAAACCATCAACAGTTTCACAACATCACACCAAATCATAAAAGCTTTACCAGCTTTCAGTAAGATTTCCTTCTTGCTCTAAGAGATGTCAGGGACTGAACAAGGGATCTTTCTCAAGAAAAATACATATTCTATTGCTCTGGTCTTTTCCTAAATTATAGAGGGCACAAAAGATATCGCATGAATTGCCTTTTACTTGATGTTTGGATATAAACTTTGCAAAGTCCTCTTGCATTTGCCAACCACTTTATCTTTTCAAGGTTAAGCAAGTTCCATTGCCTTTTACAATTTTTTTAAATAATTTAACTACTTGAATATAGTTAACTTGTTTTGGGAAAACTGCTAAAGTCTGACTTTTTAAGAGAGCCCTAAGAGAAGACCACATAATATAAACTAGAACATCCACCAAGGATTGTAATTGGAAGTTTTGTCTTCATCATTTTAGACACTATTTTCATATTTTAACACTAACCGTAGGAATAGAATGTAAACTGCTTACATTCCTCTTGGACTGGAACGGTATACAGGAAGGCCTTGACCTAGGACGTGACATCTAGGGGAAAACAGCTTTGTGCCATCGTCTAGAACAGGGATTCCTAATCCCCAGGCCACAGCTGGTTCAAAACTGGGCCACACAAGCAGCGGGTGAGTACGCACAGTTCCACTTGCATAAGCAATTGGCACGGAACCCTCCCCCTCCGCCAGTCCACAAAGCTGGAAAGGTTGAGGACTGCTGATCTAGAACTGTGGAGATTTTCCAAACATAAGTGAGTGATCGGTGATGGGGTGGGGAGAAGGCAGAAGCAGTTGGGGGACTCCAAGGGGTGGGAAGAAGCGCATGGGATATCTCAGTGGGTGGAGCTTTTGGTCACCAGAGGCAGTGGTCTTGTCCTTGCACTAGCCTCCCATGGTCTTCCCTATTCCTGAGGTACCTCATGCGCTCTTAATGACCCACACATTTGATTCACAAACGCATTGGGAAGAAGCAGCATGGGGCTCATTCATTTAACGTGATTCAATTAACATTACAACTGTAATGGGCAGCTGCCATTACATTTGTAACTCAAGATTGTAGCTATTGTACTAACTTAAGAACTAACAATTGTGGCAAGAAAGGTCATAAAATGGGGCAAAACAAACATCTTATAGAGCAATAGAAATTTTGGCCTCAACTGTAGTCCTAAGTCGAAGATCACTTGTATGCCATTTCATTTCAAAACAGCATACATTCCAATCCCAATGGATAACAATATAACAATATTATAGCAATGCAATATAACAATGGTCTAGTTCAGGGCTCCCCAAACTTGGAAACTCTAAGACTTGTAGACTTCAATTCTCCAGCCAACATAAGAGTTGAAGTCCACAAGTCTTAAAGTTGCCAAGTTTGGAGACCTCTGATCTAGTGATTAAGGCACTAGGCTAGAAACCAGGAGGTTGAATTCTAATCCTGCCTCAACCTAACTCATTCTCTCTCAGTCAAATCCACCTCACAGGATTGTTGTGAGGAAAACAGGATGAGGGAGGATTATATATGTTCACTGCCTTGAGTTATTTATAAAAATAATAGAGGCAGGATAAAAATCTAATAAAATAAAAATAACTATCATAAATAAAAATATAACATAGTAACAATAAATATAAATCAATCTTATCATACAAAGGCAAATAAGCAAAAACAACAAATTTAGGGAGTTAAAGATGAAAATGAGAATTATACATCTGTTCTCATTCCTACTCTTTTTAGTTTTTTTTAAATTGCACTGCAAAAAAAATTATCAGTTTGAAACTGAATTTTGATATGGCAGTCACCAGACATACAGTGATTCCAAATACGTTCCTCTGAATTAGAAGAAAAAGAATCAATGTAGGTTCATACATAATTATCCACAGTAATTTAATGAAGAGGGTTTTTTTTTTCATTCAGCTTTCCAGAAAGGAACGCTGGCTATATGCGCTATTGTGTTGGCCACTATCCGAAATAAAAAAAATTCTGACCTCTTTCTCACCCTGACAAGAAAGAATCATAGCTAGAGTTCTATTGACAAGACAGGAGGTAGAGCATATATGCCACAAGCAAGTTGTTTTTTTTTGTGCAACCTGTAAATATTTCTCAAAAGAATCTGCCCATTTAAAACAACAATATCCCCGTACCTGAGTTGCGACATTTAACAAAGCTAGCCGGCCATTTTTTGAAATAGTAAAAGACATAATTGGATGATCTTCTTGTACTCTGAAAATATAAACAATTGTATTAGAATTATGATTCAAAATTATCAATAGTACAAAAATGTAAACATTGTTTCAATATTCTTTATTACAGGGGTCTTACAATGAGCCCAATTATGACTGCACTAGTAGTTCACCCTTCAAGGTTTATTTATTATTTATTTACTTCTCACATTTACATTATTTATATAGGATTTTTTTTTAAAGCCCAATTTAGAATTAATATATGATCCAGAAGTCATGTGGAATATTATTTTCATTAGCTCAGTTTAAATGCTTAGCCAACCATAGGATTAATTTATCTAGTGCAATAGAAAAACAATGTAGTTACATATTTCTGTCTGTAAGGTCCTCAAAGTTATAGCCCCGAATTCGCTGGTGTGTGTCCGATGCCAGCACAGTCTTCCCATCAGTCAAACACCACAGGCACTGCACTCTTACTCCTTCCCAGGAGTCTAAGAGATTACCATCTAAATCCTAGACAGGGAATAGATAAAGCAAAATTCTTATTTAAAAAAGCTACCAAAAACATGAAACCTATTATTTTATCTCCATTATGAAATGGTGGGGGGCTGTATTGTAAAAACAGATTCTATGGGTATCACCCAAAATTTAAAAAGCAGATTTTGTTCTGTGAAATTTACTTTGTTGCCTCCATGGTTCACAATCTTGAGGCATGTGCGTCTATGTGCGGATGCATGCGTGTGAGGAATGGTGTCATTCTAACATATACTGTTTTGTTTCAGGAATACAACTTTTGGTTTGCTTAGAAAATGTAGAAAGGAATGCAGGATGTAGATGGTTTATCTTGTATTCAAAGGGGGGGGGTGTTTGGACCTACCAATTTTGTTTATATACATGTGAATATTTACCAGCTAAAGATGGTAATAATAATGACTAGAGTCCTTATTACACATACTGATTATATGCCAACATAAGCTTTAGTACATGAACATGTATGTCATGTTGAATATATTATTTGACTGGCATCATGGAATTCCTTTTTTGTAAGAACAGCAACATACACAATTTCATATATATTTCAGGTAATAAGTCCATCAATGCTAATACGGATATATATATATATATATATATATATATATATATATATATAT